GCCGTTGCGTAGAAACTGATCCACTGGTATTTCCTGTGGCGGAAGTGAAGCAGACCAGAGGCAAGCCCCTGGTCCAGGTGAAGAAAACTGCATCTAAGTGATCTTTCTAGCGCTAAAAGCGCTTACTTAGCTGTAAAAGCACTATAGCAACACCTAATAAAGACAAAGAAACCACAGCCACTACACAAACTTAGGCCAAAACCCTAGAGCAAGCACGACCAGCTACTTGCGTGTTCGAGCGTTCCAGGAGAGATCCTGAAGCATAGAGATCCCGAGGCAATAGTCTGGGACCATTTTTTTGTTTTGTTTTGTTTTGTTTCCCTGGGATGTTGGCTCATACCCACTCAGGGGGATTGGCCAAGAAAGTGTAGTGCAGTTTTTCTGTGATCATTTTAACTATGTGTAATGAATTGGTATTATAATAAGACTAATGTAAAAATAAAAACAACATAAAGAGAGCAAACGAAAAAAAAAATCAAGTTGAGCAATTTTGAGATTAGAGGTGCTATGATTACTACTCAGCTGCGTTTACTTCACTCTGCCCTGGGGAGTAATAAATATTTTTTTTTTGATTGAAGATCACAAAGGTATACGCTTGGTTGCCTGAATATAATCGCAAACGGCATTGAAAGCATCCCCGTGGCAATGTCCCAAAACTGAGGCACCAAAGCTTAGCGCCGTTTCCACCGTCAATCTAAGGCTTATTTCCGAAATGGCATAACTAGTAACCTTTTTCTAAGTATATCGTAGCGACGACTTTACAAAAAATAATGATCTAGTGATTCCATTTCTCCGCAGAATGCGCAGAGGGGTAATGTTGTCTGACCAGCTCTGTGTAGATACAGGTTTAGGGGGGGGGGGGGGGGACACGACATCGAAATTTAGTAATTAAGACTTCGAGCTTTCTGGACTGACTCCAGTGGGGTTGCCATGGAAACATGAGGTGGTTATAGTCTGTCCATGTAGTTACTTTTTCTATTGTATCAGTGGAGATTGCTGATTTTCGATATCTTATTGCCGTCATATATATCCCACATCTCTTTATCCACTTCGTAGTCTTTTCTTCCAAGCAGAGACCCTCTACCGCTTTATGCCTTAATCCCACTACTGCCTTGTGGCAATAATAAATATCAAATGATGGCAGAATTGATGACACAGAGGTTACCATGCAAACAAACACACACACACAACAAATGCAGAATAAAACACCACCTGAGCAGACTGCACGTGTTCTTTTTCTTTATTACTTACTTTTGCACATCATACAATAATAACACAGTGCATAAACAGTACATACAGTGTTAACAAACGAAATAGTTACATAGTGACTAGAACTCTTTTATACGAATAAGTGGCTCAAGATGTTCAAGCCACGCTGGAATTGGGTCTTTAGGTTTGCACTATTCTATAAACTTCATGATGTTTTGGCGGAAATATTCACGAATAAGCAGTGTATTGAAGTCGGCATGGCGGACTGACACGTACTTTTTTCTAGTGCTGTGAAGTCCGAGCAACATAACAGTATCATAAGGGGCTCTATCATCTTAATTTACTGGTAAAAACCTAATTTCATATGAATCAATCGATAAATACTTTTTTTGTGGTTCTCTGCATAATGTCCCAAAAAAAAACCCCTTCTCAACAATTTAGAGAGACATGTTCGATGATTTCAGGTTTACGACAAAGAAAACAGCGCGTTCCCTATGGTACAAACAGTGCCCTTTCTTGCATCCACGTTTTAACTTCTAGAGTGCTTGTATGAAGCTTAAAGAAAAATGATTTTGAACTAAATGGGACAGCCATTTTTTTTTCACTCGGGCCAGTACATTTTGGCCACGTCCAGCAGGATACAAACTCCTGTAAAGTGGTACCGGTAAAACAATGTCGAGATGGTCTATATAAAACATTTTTCGTTTTACTCCCGCTAGATATTCACTGGAGAACCATGACAATAAGAAATTGCATGCACCAACTACTTCTTTTAGATAAACATAAAGCGCCCCGTGCACATGGTCCGTTGTGACAACGAGTGAAGGTAAAAATCTTGCAAGCCTCAGCAGAATAACAGAACGTAGAAATGGGTCTCTTGTGTCTCGCAGGAACATAAAACGACTAACGACCTGTCTTAAAAACAAATGTGACAGACTGAGACCACCCAACCAAACACGACGAAAAAGATTAGTGTGACTAGACCATTCCCACACTAATCCCCATATAAATACTGCAAACACACGGTGAAGCTACTGCTCGCTTATACGCGAGCAATGTAAAACCTGTAATGGGTACCAAAGTTTAGATACAAAGAAAAGGTGACATATGGTGGCCCGCGTGAAAATCGAAAAGTCCGATCCTCTAACATTATTCACTTGTTCACGCATTTCAGTGGCTTGCCACCGCCAGTACGGTTCACTGTCACAACAAAATTCTAGTGGTACACCGAAATATTTTGCAGGCTGATTCACCCATGGCATGTTGACAAAAACGTCTGTAGTGAAAGGCCGATCTCCGTGCCAATATCCCAAGCTGCGCTCAAGCCACCTGGTTCAGGTGACTTTCCCTGGGTTTAGCCGTTCATTAGCTTCCAAATTCATCTTCCAAATTTAAAAGGCAGTTTCAATCCTACAACAACACTTTCGGGCACTTTTGACATCAAAGGTAAGAATTTCTTTCTAAACATTCCTATGTCAACCTCCGATCGCTTAAACAGATCTCGATAGTCGTTAGAAAAAACGTTTCCTATCTCTTATTATCTATGTAAACGACACCATTGTGATGTATTTCCGCTATGGTATTTATGCGGGCATACCTCTTCTCTTCAGCCAGTGACCGTTTTGTTGGTGTTTTATGAACGAACAACTTTTCAGCATGACCTCGAATTATAGCCTCCCTATCACGCTCAATGTTAGAAACTTCCAGCTTATGCCTAGCCTTGCGAATATCTTCCGTGAATACTGGTGATATTGCTTCTTCCTCTAACAATGCAGTAAAATTATGTTTTAGCAATTCTTCCTCCTTTCTCTTCTCTCGTTTAATTGTACAGGCTCTTTCCGTTGCCAGCATCTTAATATCACTTTTAAAATATTTCCACTGAGCACCAATCATTATTTCGCTGCTTTTGCTAATTTTGCTGGCATGTTATAGTACCTTCTCTTTAAAAATGTCCTCCAGTAGCTGCGAGTTCAGCTTCCAAAGGTCCCAGGAAAACCTTAATTGTCTAGCGCCGTCACAGCGGATATTAAAGCTGATTAGGCAGTGATTTCTAAAAAAGACTGGTTCGACTACGTATTTGTAACACATTGGTATTATACTCGCCTTTAAATAAGCTCTGTCCAAACGAAAGTGACTGGAATTCTGAAAGTGCGTAAAATGAATGCTTTTCCCCGTATCTAGACATTCCGCCACATCTTCAAGGCTATATCGATCTATATTATTGCTAAGGCCTTCCGTACAGGGATCCCTATACGATGCACTGCTGGTCTTGTCATGTGCAGAAAACACGCAGTTAAAGTCTCCCATTATTACAACCTGCATGTCGGTATCGCAATATCCATATAGGGATTGGAAGAAATCACATCTTTCGGATTGCACATTAGGTGCATACGCAGCAGTTACGCGCCATTTAGAATAAAAGTGCCTGAAATCGCATAATACTAACCTCCCCGATAAACTAGATGTACCAGATTCAACGACCAGCCCCTGTATCTGGCGGACAAATAAAGCACAGCCGGCTGAGAAACCAATGGCATGACTTATACAAACACTGAACCGTGAACTAAAAGGGTGCACCATGCTCCCAGTCTCTTGTTCACCTTCAACTTTGGTTTCCTGTACAGCTATAACGTCCAGATCTTGCTCTACAACTAGTCGTTACAGTTGATTGTGTTTCTTTCTGCCAGCGAGACCTCGCACGTTAAGTGAAGGAAAACGAAAAAAGCTTTCCATAGCCATGGTATTTGGTCGACTGAGAATAGAAGCATGATGCTCACCTCCACCACTCAGTGCAGCTGAACCTGCCAGCCGCACGCCTCGTTCCCCATCCGTAGACGCGCCCTCGATGCTACGAAGACGACGAAGCCGCTGCCGGCGGAATAGTAGGCCGCGGGTGCCACGCCAATCGACGCAGTGGTAATGCTTTAGATGGTGGGTCTTCAACGCCAGCGTCTCCTGCAACGCCATTATATCCCACGTCCTGCCGTTCCCGTTTGCCTGTTGTGCAGCTGGAAGCTTCCATCGCCAATTCATCCACTTGCGGATTCTTTCTGGTCACGTCCTCCACTACCTTACTTACTTCTGATGTCAGCATCGCTGTCACTAGCGCCGAGGTTTCCGCAATGTCCATTACCATGTACTCTTTTTCTGCTTCGGAAGTAAGGGAGGCGCTAGCCGCGCGTCGCTCCGTGTCTTCTGTGCTTGCAGGCCTCGGTGTGCTGCCAACGACCTCCTCGGCATCGGCCTCGTCCATCATGAGCTCCACAGCGTCTTCACTCGCCATTACCCTGGCAGGTGCCATGACACTGGCGTGCGTTCGAGCACAGACCACGTCCTTGTGACCGTAGCGTCGGCACGGTCCGCACCGCGGTATAGGACAATCTCGGCGAATATGACCAGCATTTCCACATTGCAGGCACTGTGGAGCTGTACCCGGGACAACCACGAGGGCTCGTTCACCAGTAACTCGCAATTGATGCGGAATATCCTCGATGGTGATGCCACTTTTAAGCATCAGAGTAACAGTTCTCGCTGTTGACCCTTTATCCGTGACGCCATTCACACGCCATCGCACACGAGTGATGTCTGTGACACGGCCGTAGGGCCGTGTCACCGACATCACTCGTGAGCATCACTCGTGAGCAACATCAAAAAAGACGTGGCACCACGTTTAGAGAAACTCGATAAAACTATTATGCCCCTGATCGTATGAAGAAAGCGATATGTTCTATTCCCTAGAACGATCGGATTGATTTGCAAGCTTCTTCAGTGACAAAAAAACACGCATCGCATTTAGAGAGTTCATGTTGCCTAACAAGAAAGTGGGGCTTTTATTGGATGGCAAATCATTTTATCCTCTGCTTTCACACACGTACCCTTAGTGTAATTCCCTGGACCAACGGCATGCTGGAACAACAAGAAAGAAAACTTCGTTGTACTGCAATGCCCCAGTTTTTTTACTAAGCAATACCCTAATAATGCAGTAGTTAAAGTGCGGATGAGTGCTCTGTCACTATTATAAGACTGAAATCGCCTCTTATGCTACAGCTTTCCTAAAGGTAGTATTTATCCCTGTCTTCGCGCATTTTTAGGAATGTTATAGGAAGCACTGAATGCAGTTAGATTAATTATTGTAGAAATTCAGCTAGCGCAAGTGCCATATGTAGCAGTTGATAGCAGACTATGTTTTATGCCTCATTGAAAATTAAAAGATACGATCATGACATCGCAAACCATCCCAAATTTAATTCATTTTGTACGTGGAAAAGATGAGCTGGGACTCCCATTAGAATGACTTACATTATGTGCGGGAGTAATAAAGACTGGCGGTACTTAGCCATGTTTTTGAGAACTGGGTGTTCTAGTGACTTCGAGCAAGGGCCTGTAACCCCTCAACTTTTGCTGTACATTTGGATGCGTAGCAGCAGTCAGTGCTCAGACCTCTTCGATATTTATTCTATGTCAACAGCCTGGATTCCACACCTTCTTATTACAATCTCCCCAATGCTGAAGAATGACCATGTTTCGTGTAGTAACCAACCACATTCTGTTTATTCCTATAATCTGCTGTTAACAGCTTTGTTCATTGTGCGGTGCTTCGCGAATGGAGCTTAACGTTAACATATGCGAAGCAATGTTTGTTATTGGATGTTCTACCAGCATGATAACATTATTACCATGCGACTAGCTTATTTTTCGGATATTCATATTCAGCACATAATAACGCCGTTCCCATTTTAGGCTACGTATGCATAACTGCATAAAAAGGCTTCGTGTACTGAAATTGCTTCTCATAAAATATTAATACGTGCCAAACTTGAATACAGTTCATCTGGGACTCAACGACATCTTGCTGACTTGCCTTGAACTTCGGCAGAATAACTTTCTGATTTCATTATAAATGTTCTAATTTAAAAGTGTACATTTTCCTAAGGTATTTAATTTCTAACTACACACAGCTAAGTGTGCACTTTATGATTTATAAGTGTTTGTTTGTATAGTTTCATAATTTTGTGTCCATTTTTCCTGCTTTTTCTTTGCTACTTAACCTCTCTTTTATAAAATACCATGCACTCCAAGGTAACGTGAATAAATGAGTATAAACAAATTCAAATTTCATATTGAAACATGTAGCTGCCTTGGAGATTGATTCGGCACACTCACGACATTTTTAGGCTAATAAATTTCGTCGTCGCCAATGGTCACCGTGCGCGTGCCAGATGCTGTACCAATACATTCGCGTGCTTGCCTGCCCACTTTTCATTCCTAAAATTATAGTTTCGGGCTACTTGGAATAAAAGACACCGCGCGGGCTAACTGTTTGCATCTCTCGAAAGCCCTATTCTGCCTGATCTACCCCTTTTTCGCAGTGTGGACATCACTAAAATAATTTCTTTTTTAGTTGCTTATAATTGTTTATTCTTGCGTATTAGCTCAATTGGTCTTGGTGGGCTTGAAATGAAGCCCATAACGCAAAGCACGTAGCCTGGTAAATATATAATGTATTGCCGATTTTTCGGAGTGATCCATATAAAAAAAAAGCTAAAATCCCACCAGTTAGGCCTATTCAGGAACGTGCGCTTTTCAAAAGGGCCCTGAAACACTGTTTTAAGTAGCCCTGGATTAGATTGACTAAAAAAATAACATTGCCTCTAGAATTCACTGCCTTCAAAAAGTTTCAGAATCTATTCAACATAACTGGAGTTAGTAAGATTTGTCACTCGCTGCAATCGCAACCTCTCTCATCTCGTCCCGACGAAAGCGCTGGAAGCTAAGCAGGGAGCGATGGCACGGTAGAAGAAAATGCGCCACGCGCGTCTGGAAAGATTGAGAAGTTTTGTCTCTTTTTTTTCGTCAAATACATAAGCATTCAGTACGATCGCGCGAGCATGTGTCGACAAGTCGTGGCCTCCCTTAGCTGCCCCAGTAACGACCTAGCGCGCCATGCTCAAATCAGCCAATGGCTAGTACAAGGCTAGAAAGTCGAGCTTTGGAGCCTATGTCGTCTTTCGTAGCGAGAAGAGAAATCGATTTTTAGATGACTTGGGCAGTTTTTTGTGACTTCTAGGCCACGTTCTGTGCGGTATCAGACATGCCTGTTCTCGGGAGCCTCATCTACTGGTCGGCAGCGTTTTCTAACCATGCCTGAAGAAGTATTTATTGCAGGGCCTCTTTATACTCCTTTCAGAAGTATTAAATGTTAATCGATCCTACTACGAAGTGAAAAGCATCAAAATATTCGTCCACCACTTAATTCAAATTAGTTTGGTTCAATACTTACGAGGCACGGGGCACCTTCGTAGTAGTAAGCAAACTCTTTTGTCTTTGTCTCTCGATTGTAACACGTAAAGGCACACCCAACTTGATCACCAAGCTTCATCTGGAAGATCAGTACGTGTACTTAAAAATTTATGAGTCACTCCTTTTTAATGCATCTAAGTCATGTGATTACTAACATAAATCTGTTCACCAGCGGTATAACAATTCGTAGCCTAATGCGAATTTTTCTTCGTTTGTGAGAAGAGAGAATGACCTTGCATAAGACGTACTTCAAGCGTGACTGATGCCTCGCAGTGTCGGCTGTGGCTACTCTTAGCACTTTCGCAGTTCGATTACGTGAATGCAAGAATGGGGCTACAGTGTGACGACCATTCGGATTTTCGCAGCCTTGCCACACTTACAAGGAGGTTCCCGCTTCACACATCTGCTTGTAACCTCTGGCTACGATAAATCTGTTGTTGATATTGTCATGGTGGCTAATCATTTTGTAGTTTATTTGGCGATTGCCAAGTAAATATTGATCAGTCATGCTCTACTTTTTTACTAAGATGATCAAAAAGAAGGAAGTTGTTTTACCACCAAACTATTTGCAATGGCCTCGGCAGGCAGATGATGCAACACAGAGAGACAAAGCGCAGCCCATTCAAAGATGCGGTGCATTGGATCATGACAGTAACAACGATAAATTAGACCACCAGTGCTTCTAAAATGAAAAGACAACAAAGCTAACACCGTCTCGGGCATACGCAGGAACGTTGACACAAAAAAAAAATGTGCAGCGCAAACCATTATTTCACTAGCCGTGACACTTAGTGAAGATGTTTAATCAGCAAAGCTATGTAGTGTTCCACAGAGGTGGAACAAAATTTTGATAAAACGTGCAGACACATTTGATTGTCTTCAGTAGCAGCGGTAATCGCAAAAAATATAGAACATGCACACAAACTTATGCTGATAGTTACTTGTAATTATCGGAACGTTGCTGATCGGCAGCGAGAAATATGCGCGGCCTCCACACAACTGCGAGAACAGTAAAATTAATAATGGAGAAGGACAACTTGATTGCTCACCGTGCTAGTTACCGAGACAATTGTGAAAGGAAGCAAGACCAACAAGCCGTTCACGGCGCGCAAGGGCAGCTTCCTCAGACCATCACTGCCGGCGAGAACTTGGGGGGAAAAATGGCAGATCCCAAGTACAGTGGGAATCAATGATATGCGAAGCACGAATGAGAAATGTTGATTTGTTGCAATAATAGCGAAAGTTGGGCTAGTTGGTGGTTCATACTTGGGAAGTAAAAACAGCGCAAAAATATAAACAAGGACTTTGGTTATCCACGTAACCTGGTCAAATGCTTGATATATGTGCGTGTATCTTTCAATAAAGTTTAGTGGCGAGTTCAGCGCGGTGTCGTCTCTTCCTCTGTCCTTGTTTATATTTTTGCGCTGTTTTTGCTTCCCAGGTTGATTTGTTGTTTAAAACTCAGCACAACGTTACGAGGTGGAAGTAAATGATGCCGTACATGACTTCCTTGTCATGATTATTATGTTTGGATCTGTCGTTCACCTTCATCATCTATTCACGTCACGAGTTACAAAATTTAGTACACGCGGAGCGAGCAAAACGGCCACGAGCACGCTATGAGCATGGTGTGTTGTCATGTTCTTACAAGACATGTGTGTCAGGATTATCAAGCTTGCACCAGTCATATATTTTGTCATCCATTGACGTCGCGTATCACCAACTTGGTATATGTTGTGGGGATCTGAGGTGCGCCCGCGACCATTTCGCGGGCATTCTGCCGTACGGCCGCTCCCTTTTCTTTTCCGTGCTCTGGTAACAGCGCATGGCAATAGATGACGCCAAGCGCGAGTGCGGCACGTGTTCTCGGGGGCTGCGAGAATCGGGAGGCCGAGCCACGTGCGCGCCGCAAAGGTCTCTCCTCCGTTGGTCGGCGCCTGGTGAGCACGTGTATCCTTCATCGGCGTCCCCTTTGGGAATCGCCGGACTGTAGCCTGCCTGGGGACCTTGTGATTCCCGACAGGCGTGTTTACTTGGGCGCTAGCTTCGGTACTGTACGATAAGCCAACAGTGGTGCCTAGTGCTTGAAGTGGTCACACCATATCAAGCCGCACTTGATATAGGCCTACGCGTACGAGGTTCCCCTAACTCTCGCGACCAGTCCCACTTGTTATCGTGACAGCGCGCAGCATAGCGGTGAGGGACCTTTTCCCGACCGGCGTGTCAAAACTCGCCATTGCCAGCTGCGACGTGCTCGCAGTTTTCCCTTATCGTGAACGTCCGCGTGCGGGAGCCTTTGCTCTCCGCGTACCGGGAGCGGACGTTGTTGCGTGAGGTGCCGCCAACGGCAATAAAGTGTTTGTGTATTTCTGTTATTCGAACACTGCCCGTTTTGCCGCACCGTGCTAAACGCCTTGTTGATTGATCGCGCACGGGGTGGTGCGCTACACGCGAGTAGGTGACGGAGTCGCGGCCCTGTGGCTCGCCAAGCGTGAAACCGTGGTGATCATCCGCTACGGTGAGTAGTGAGCTCACCACCCTGGCGCCCAACGTGGGGCCCGAATTCACAACCCGGAGATTAAGAGTCTCATGCTCTACCAACTCAGCTAGTGAGTAGCGAGGTCACCACAATGTGGAGCTAGCAAAACGGCTACGAGCGCATCATGAAGGGCCTAATATACTCCAATGTATAGCGTTGACGCGCGCGCACGCTGGGCGCAGTGACGCTACGTTAGCAAAACTCGAGCACTCTGTAGTCTGACGCCAGGCGGGACCAGCGTCCGTCGGCGTGGCCCGACGACAACCGGCACGAAATGCGACAAGCTGCATTTCGCGCCAATGCGTCACGCAGACAACACTGCGTTTCCCTCTTTTCGTGACGGAGAGACACCGGACACGCCGAAACGCGCATTCGTCAAAGCAACGCAGCATGGCGAGCGCCTGCAGTATATGGCAGGACCGGTGCCTGGCGTGGCAACGCTGGCATGACGCGACGAAATAAACGCGAGCGAGTGCGCGCACCACGTCGCATCGAAATGTATTGGCGCCTTGACTGTGAGATGTAGTCATGTTTTCACATGACGCACCTCTTATTATTATCATGTTTGCACCAGTCACATACCTTCGCCATCCATTGGCGTCACGTAATACCAAATTTGGCATATGTGGAGCTAGCAAAACGGCCGTCAGGGTTTCATCAGTATGGCATGTAGTCATGTTGTTACATGACACGCATGCCGTGATTATTATGTTTGGATGTGTCATTTACCTATATCGTCCGTTCGCGTCACGTGATACCGAGTTTGGTACATATGAAGCTAGCGAGACGGTCGCGAGCACATCATTTAGTCATGTTGTTACATGACACGCATCTCTTGTTTATCATGTTTTCACTAGTATCATACCTTCGTCATCCATTCACGTACTGTAATACTAAATTTGGTATATGTGACGCTAGCGAAACGGCCATGAGCGCATCATGAGCGTGGCATGTAGTCAGGTTGTTACATGACACGCATGTCATGATTTTCATGTTAGGGTCTGTCGCTTGTGTTCGTCATGCAATCACGCCATACCATACCAGTTTTGAAACATGCCATGTGAACGAAACCACCACAAGATCTTCAGGTCCATGAACTGTAAATCATGACAATCATGACATACATGTCATGGTTTTTATGTTGTCAGTGGTCAAATATGGTCGCAATACAGTGATGTTATGCCATACCAAGCTTGGTATCAATACCATTATCCAAACGGCCAGGAGAGCTAAATGTTGTAGGTGGCTAGATAGATAGATAGATAGATAGATAGATAGATAGATAGATAGATAGATAGATAGATAGATAGATAGATAGATAGATAGATAGATAGATAGATAGATAGATAGATAGATAGATACGCTCAAAAACGCCGCCGTTCGCTAAGAAATCAAAATACAGCACACAAACGCACTCCTTACAGTGAATCACCAAGTGACTATCGGTAACCTTTTGCAGTTTATTATGGTGCTATTTTAACTTCTAATTTCTGCATCTTTCAGTTGTTCTCACATAAGCAAGACCACATGACAAGGGCACTCTCTAAACAACCGACAGTGCACACTCAACATATTTATTGCGATACTTAATTTAGCAACCTATCTTTTTTTTTTCGAATCAGGACAAGTTTTGTGACATATTTTTTACAGTTTCTCTGGAACAGACATGAACACTCGGACACCCACCTTATTTACATTTTTTTATATTGTGTACCACACCATGGATATAGCGGACAACAGTCGTTTTACGCTGCTGTTTCGAAAGAAAAGAGAGGTTGTCAATTAAGCATCGCAATAAATATGTTGAGTGTGCACTGTCGGAGGTTTACAAAATGCTCTCGTCATGTGGACTTGCTTATGTGGGAACTACTGAAAGATGCGTAAATGACAAGTTAAAGGAGCACCATAGTAAAGTGCAAAAAGGTACCGATGGTCACTTGGCGATCCACTGTAAGGAGTGCGGTTGTGTGCTGTGTTTCGATAACACTTGCGTTTTATATCGGGACAGAGATTTATTAACCCGTTTGATCGTAGAAGCAGCACCTTTTATCTCACTCACGCGGAAAGAACTTTGTTTTTTGGGTGGTGTGATTGATAATAACAGATAAGTAATCTACGGCACTGCACGTGTGCCTTTTTGTTGTGCTGCCTCCTATTTATTTTTTCTCTTTTACCCCCTTTATAGACTCTGATGATTGCAATATACGTTTAGTTGAAGTTAAGCACATGGGTCGTGTGTTCTGTGTAAAAATTTCTGCGCTTCTTACCAAGATAGTTTCATGCCAACTGGCCCGATATAATTGTTTATTGAGTGAATTACATAAACAGTGTGTAATCGAATGCTGCAACCCATTATAACTGCCTCAGGCATAGTTGTTCATCGTCGTAAGCCACATCATTAAGAAAATGCACATGTCTTGCAAGTGTACAGCACGTACCACGCTTCTCCGAATAATGGCATAGTGAGTGACTCTCTAGTACAGGAAAATTAGGCTTATTTATGGCGCAGTGGGTACACTGCAAATGTGCTTGCAGTGGTTATGGTTATATATGATATGTGGGGTTTAACGTCCCGAAACCACTATATGATTATGAGAGACGCCTGCAGTGGTTATGGTATGGTATGAAGAACTTTATTAGGGCATGAGGATTAGTCCAGGAATGATGCTGGCTGCTCTCACGTCGGGACAGAGAAGCCAAACTCTTCTGTCGCCACACGGGTCGTCTGGACAGCCCTGAGTTGGTCTGCCAGCGTGTCACTGTGCAGCATTCACTGCCACCACTGTTCACCGTGAGAAGCCGCACCAGCCAATGCCGAGCAGCGCCACAGCATGTGTTCAAAATGTAGCAAGCCCCCACGCTTACAACAATAGATCGAAACCCCGCAGTTCGGTACATTTTATTCATGACGACCAGGTTCGGGTATGTCCACGTCTGCAGAACTCTTAATGTAACCGCCTGTGGCCTGTTAAGTCTAGAATGTGGCTCCAAGTAATAATGTTTGGTTATATCATTGTACGTTAACAGCTGCTCCCTAAACTGAGGAGCGGGACATTCAGCCGCCTCAGGGATTGCACGGCACACTAATCCTCGTGCCTCCCTGTGCACCACCTCGTTGAGGCTAGATGAAGCTCCCACCACTGATCCCATGTGCGCCGGAGAGAGAGAGATAAAGATGCAAGGAAAGGCAGGGAGGTTAACCAGACACACATCCGGTTTGCTACCCTGCACTGGGGAAGGGGTAAAGGGGAGAAAAGAACAGCCGGGAACGAAATTATGGTATGCGGAGTGATGTGCGCACCCTGCGGCAGCCTTGAAGCGGTTACCCAGAAGGTGTTTTTAAAAGGCACTGGAAAGGCCGCTCTTCCAGCTTTTTTTGGGACTGTGTTGCGTGCTTCACGCAGGCCTGGCGGTTTCGATGCCCAGTCTTAATGATATGTTCAACCGATATTTGATGTGTTAACCAAAAAATCCACCTTCTACACGATATTCTTCTGTTCTTTTACGAAGCAGTTTCAAACACTCTCATGGCTCCGCTGTAGAACACTGGTTTGCCACGCAGTAGGTCTCACTTTGATATTTACCCCAAGCAAATATTCGTATTCCCTGTTTACTTATTTGTACATATGTGTCAAAAACTCGAACGTGGAAAAATAGCAATGATGATTTTTTGCTCAAAACTAAAAACCCTGAGGCGGAGACCGATAACGGTATTTTTCAGAACTAGCTCTTTACGCTATTCACAAACATAACAGCCTAAATTTATTTATTTATCAAAGGACCACTTACAGATATTTAGAATATAACTTGTGGAGTTAGCATGTAACTCACTGAAATGTTATCGGCGTCGCGAGATTACGCAAATTATCTACATGAATATTACACTATATATGAAAATAACCAGAACACTCGTTCAATGTTCAGTGCCTACCGACACTTCAGGAGGCGAATCAACGACATTCTGCGGCTGTTTTAACTAGCCCACTCAGTCACGTTGTGCACTAATCGAGACGTCAACTTAAATGGCATGTCACGGACCACGTGTTTCATGAAATGGCTTGAAAACTAGCTGGTAATCATTTAACTTTATTATGCTGGGTATTGCTGCAGAAAATATTTTTGCAGGATGCACTACCATTTTCGACGACTGCTCGACGTGATGCATACCTAGACCAACGTTAAAAGTAGTTTTTATTCGCTCAAAACAAATTCGACCTAAAAACAAACTGTGCATGCATTTTGGGCCTAATAGCGAATTCTTTTGATGCAGGTACTGAAGCTGAGTGATGGCAGAATAATAATATAATTAGTCACGCACACATTAACTCTGAAAACCACGAGTAACATGGAAGAACGTTTCCCTTCATTTTCCTATGCTTTGAATGTAATACTGAGTGCTTTGAAATTATTCCACGTGAATTTGACGCCTTTTCGATAGAGCATCATAATTCGTGACTGAAGGGGCCAATATGAGAGATGTTTAGGGCATTAAGCGCAGCGTAGTGGGATGTTTAGGAAAAATAAGCGAACATATACTGCAGGAAATCCACGCAAAAACAAGAAAATTTGTTGCTAGCACAATTTGGAATACGTATGCAATAACAAAAATAAGATTGCATATTTATGCCTATTTTTGTAGGCACAGCTTTAAAATCACATGAGTCAGTTAATTTCAGTTTGACATAATTCCGGAAATGAACGCAGAAGGAACAAGGTAACACGTCATGTAAAGCTTAAGCAACAGTGAAGCTGATTAATCTTAGAAGGTTAACGTGGCCTTCTTGGTTGATGTCAGTTCCTTCCTTGGTGTAGATGAAGTAGAGTTGAACTACAGCCAATTTCAAACCATGTAAGAATATCAAAACTTCAGTGCCAGAATGACCGTGAAACGCAGGCTGCGACAACCCCGGCACAAGCACTTGCCTTGTTTCGTCGCTCGTATACTCGGCTCGCGCACCCGGCAAACACGGCATGGCTGCGCGGGCTGTTTCCGCCTGTAGATGCAGTTGATAAATAATGGCACGTATAGGGTTGTTCCCTAACAACCACTATTTCATCTCAGACTTTGAAATTTCGCCCTCAGAAACACGAGAAGAAACGTTACTCAGGGCAAAAACTTATGACATCACCCACGAATTATGCCGTTCTATACAGTAATAAGAGTAGTCGTCATGTTCGCACTATCTCACCCGCTTTTTTTGTTCCTCGTCGACGTGTTTACAACCGTGTGAAATGTTGATATATTGGCATTCCCCAGTCTTGCATTTGCCTTCCTTATAGTCCAACTCGTGATTATATCCACTGGATTTTACCTGCAAGAAAAAAACAAACGGGTTTACAGGCAACATAATCCAGCTTCCACCTATTTACTTATTCATTCATTATTTTCCTATATATCAAGTCGTAACAGGGGCCAGTTGAGGTGGAAAAACAGAACAGGCTCAGTAACAAAGCGGATTACTAAGGGTTAGCGCTTTTAGCAGTAGAACAGGTTTACATCACTAAACGTGTAATGAAATTTTGGCATCAAGGAAAATAAACATGCTTGATCCCTCTGTCATATGAATAGGTACGACACAAAGTGAATACTGTCTTCACAGAAGCAGATTGTTCATTGTACACACGGGAGCAAAAGTGTAAAGAACACGGGAGTGCATGCTAAAACTGCCGCCTGCACCATATAGTGGTCAGCCGTCAGCTGACGAGAGCAGTGCGCTGTCGAATGGGCTGCCAAAGGTATTCACGAACGGTTTATGAAGGATAAGGCTGCGCATGAACCTCCCGTTGCCAGCCTGAGCACATCGGCCCCGCGACGACCTAGTGAACTCCGTCGGAGAAGAGGCTCGGGAAATGTCACTGGTGGCCGGAGGCATAGGCAGAATATTTTTTTGAAGGAAGGGGTGGAGGTGGGGGGGGGGGGGGGAGCGCCTTGTTCAGATGGTAATTTTTTGCTCCCTATGGCATGGCGAAAAAGTGGGCGGGGGCACAATTCCGGCGAGTTACCCCCTGGCTACGCCCCTTCTGACGGCATTGAAGAAGAGCATGGTAACGTGCACAAAGAAGCGAGACCTGGCACGCCAGGGTGTTTCGACGGGTATGAGCGAGAAGTATGGCCAGAGTCCCACAATACCTTTACTGGTCGTGAAGCTTCACCGTAACTCTGTGGGAAAGCTTTGTGCGCTGCGAGTGGATGCCGCGGCCTCCACTCGCAGCGCACAAAGCATAAACTAAGCAGGATGGGCATGATCTATAAAGATAAGGGGGGACAAAGCTGATGTTAAACAACTACCGTCTTATAACAGTGACATCAGAAGTTTACAGGAAGGTGATGCAAATAGTAAAGAGAAGACTGCAGACATGCGTGAAGAATGAGGGGGTGCTGGGAAAACTATAAAATAGGTTCCGTAAACGAAGGAGGTTGGAGGACAACCTGTTTTCATTGATGCAGTGTATTGTATTAGCGAAAAAAACACAGGCCCCTGTAGCTGGCATTTCTAGATATAAAGAGAGCTTACGATAGGATTCAAAAGGACCTGTGGGGAACACTGGACACACTAGATGTGGAAGATGTAATAATCAGTCTTCTAAAGTGTATCTATAACAGCGACAAGGTAGTTATAAAATGAGAACAAGACATTCGAACCTACAGAAATACAACGCGGGCGTCGACAGGAGTGTCCCTTGTCATCTTTGTTATTTTTGCTGTATCTACAGAGACTAGAAGCTACGTTAGAGACGAGTCCTTGGCTTCAGCCTCTCCTTTGCCAAGCAAGGAAAACGCGTTCAACTGTCATTGCCAGCATTGATGTATGCAGATGATATAGTATAATAGCTGACAACAAGGAAGGTCTGCATGGATTGATAAACGTCTGTGGTAATGAGAGAGATAGGTTAAATTTGAAGTTCAGTTGGGAAAAATCGGCAATCATGATATTTATTGGTAACGAAGGCAGTGAGCCTAAGATACGGGAAGCCACGCTAGAAACAGTTGATAAATACAAACATTTGGGCGTATGGATAAACAACGGGGATGAGTACCTTAAGGAAAGCGAAAAATACGTAAGGACTAAGGGTAACAGGAATGTAGCTGTAATGAAAAATGGGGCACTGTGAAACTACAGTAGGTATGACGTTGTGAGAGGTATTTAGAAAGGTTTCGTGGTCTTGGGTTTGACGATTGGCAATGTGGTCCTGTGCATGTGATCAGAGGTCCAAGCAAGATTGGAAATTAAACAACGCGGCATAGGTAGACTTGCTTTGAGAGCACACGGGAATACTTCAAATGAGCGGGTACAGGGTGACATTGATTGCACATCGTTTAAGTGCAGGGAGGTTAGCAGCAAGATAGAATTTGAGGAGCGATTGTGAAAAATGGGAGAGGAGCGTTAGGCTAGGAAAGTTTCCAGCTCATTTTACATGAAAAATGTTGATACTAAATGGAGGAAGCGAACTCCAAAATTGTCAAACAAGTATTTAGACAACAGCAGAATACCAAGCCTGAAAGAAACATCAGTTAAGAAGAAGGTGAAGGAAACAGAGAGGAACGTAAATGTGGAAGATTGGAATGCTTACCAAATCATCACTTCAGACCTGCCGAACTTTCAAGCAGGCAATCGCAAAAGAAAAATTCCTCGATGATTCTCGGGGTATATAGTTCTCTGCTGTTAGAGGCGAGAACGGAGTATTGCGGACCAAGACGTACCGAGCCAAGTACGAAGCCAAAGACACGGTATGTAGTGCGCGTGGAGAGAAGAAGGAAACGGCTGAACATTCGATAATGTTCTGTAGAGGGCTCCACCCTATAATCCAAGATAATGGCATGGAATTTTTCAAATCATTTGGGTTTTGAAACAGTGACGGCAAAGTAGGCTTTATACGCGTAGAAATAAAAGGAGGAGGCTAACTGACTGATGGCTACTATCAAGGCGCAAATGAAATTCGATCCTTCAACGCATACTGATAGTACTTAACTTTATGGCTAGGTGGCGTGAGCCGCCACCCGATCTAAAGGGCACAGTCGGATACATTCATTCATAAATTCATCCGGAGGGGCGGCGCTGCATCACCGCGTGAGGAATCGGGCAGACCGGAGGGCAGCTGGCTGCTGGTGCCGCTATGGGGTAAATGCATAATATCGTGGCGTGTGATCGCGTGAATATTCACCGTATGATTACTATTGTGGCTAGTGTGCTGTGTCTGAAGATCGGTAGGGATACCGTATACCTTCTGGGTACCTGGTTGTCGATCTGGTTACAAAGGAAATGACGAAAAGGTCTCCGAGTTCTCGCTGCCTATAGTGATCGGCGGGAAAAGTGGAAGTGCGTAATGCCGCGTCAAGAAGCTGGTGGTTTCACATTTGTTTCCCCAAATCTACACGCATGCGAAAAGCACTTCAATGAGAGTGAAATCATTTGCGTGGAGCAGTGGTTATTCGGAGGTGTTGTTGTCAAGTCACCGCTCGACGCTCCGAAACTTTTGCCGACACTGTGCCGAGGATTTTCCACTGCCTCATGGTGTATCTGTATAGTGTAAGAATATTCTGAACTCGTCCGCCTAAAAGCGTCGACGTGAACCGTCAGTGACCTGGATACTGTTGAGGCTGCATCGAACTATGCATGAGCCCTCTTGACATAACTGCAATGGATAATGACGCATTTAATGAAGTTGAGCATACCAGCCACCTACTCTTCCTTACGTGCCAGCAGATAATACGGAAACTCAACCAGTGAAATGCTCACCGTTTTTGTTTACACAGGCATTGAGATGACCCAAAGTGTATAGGTGATATGCTGAACAGGCGGAGCTACAATCAATCAAACTGTTTCAAGAGATGCTGCGGAGCCTTCGTGTTAAGCTTGCTAACGACTGTACAAACTTTCGCAAGCTGTAAAAGCGTGAAAAGTTAATTTTTGATATGAATGCATCGTGAGCATAAGAAGACAACTTTTTGCGTCAGATGTTGATGCCTCCGGCGCGGGACGCAGTCGGTCAATTTTCCCGTTTGAAGAGGCACGTAAGGTTTTCGCCTTTACAGTAAAAAGAATAAAGAAGGACAGGGGAAAGCCAGCATGAGTAATCTACACAGCAAAGCAAGGGACCTAGAAACTACATAGCATGTCCAACCGAATTTAGAACGCGCTATGGCACCATAGTGATAAATTGACGCAAAACAAAGCACAAAAATGAAGTATTGCTTAATTCTCATCACTTGTTAAATTGAAACAACTGATTCATTCAGAGTGGTCATTGGTTTATTAAGTGCGAGGCAGTTTTAGATATATACCATCGTATATATAAAACACCGAATGCATATATGGCTTGGAAGGTTGGAAATGCACTGTCAAAAGTTCCAACAGGCACTTTCGCGAAGCGTGAAGAACCACGAGAGTCATTGAAGAACTCTGGATTGTACGCAAATGTTCACTAGGTGCTTAAAAGTAAAAATAAGCATGCTTTTATAGCGGTGCATGTCTTACACTGAAATTTAGAACTTCAATGCGTTATTCGACGCTGAATTTCACTGTATTCGAGCTTTCTTGAATTTTCTTGGAGCTAAAATCATTCTGAAGACGTATTCAACCTTCACGGCTACATTTATTTTCGCTTCAAAGCTCTGGCGCGTGCCGTACAATTGCAGCGCTGCGGCCGCTCCGATGCCCCGCCGTGGGCGAGTTGCCCTTAGTGATTGCTTTTGTCTCTATGTTAAAATTTCGCCGAAACTTCATGACCAGTAAAAGTATTGAAAGATCTGGCGTGGCTTTTGCTTGATCAGAAGTCATGACGTTGTGTGTATTGCTGCCGTAATAACGCTGGCTGCTGACAATCGAGCAGCGTGGGACTCAGAAAACACGCTAGAGGGGAGGGGGGGGGGGAGACGAGGTGCAACAGGAAGCGGTACTCTATACGGCCACACAAGTAGTCACGTTCGTTTACGACGTTTCTCTCTCCATATGTCGTTAGCTGCAACCGGCAGCTCCTTATCGCAGATCTCCCACACAGAAACTGCTTGGTAATACGCAGCCCAAATAACTATCCGTTGCGCACTGAAGCTTTCCATGGAGCATTTTATAAATAAGAAGCCGATAAAATATAACAGCAAAAGAACGCCACATAGAATTTTTTTTTACGGAGTGCCCCTTTGAAGAACTATGTCAAGCCATATTCATATATTACCCTTTATTTCCATGCTGGCTGAACGTCTTTGACTTTATATGAATAAGACGTTCATACACACTGCATGGCTAGAATTTCGCACAGTCTCTTCAAAAGGTTCGAACATGTATAACTAGAACACAGCTACACTAGCACTAGCTTTCAAATTCAAATGAGCGACAACGTCATACGGTGTTTACATTGCAGTTCCAAAAAAAAAGTACACATTTATCAATCCCAAATTGTGTTTATGAGCAATCTCTAGCGTGAAAAGAAAGCAAACAGTAATTCATCTATAAGCCTAAAAAAAGAAAGTTAGGTCATCGTAGAAGATCAGTTCCGACCGAGCAAGAAGACGCGCTGAGGTAAGTGGAGCATTTCTAAGTGAGGCTTTTATAAGTTAGAGATTCAGTGGCTGCAGCTGAATCAAAATTCCCGGTAAACCCAGCGCCGACGAGCGTATACAGAAGTGGACCCTCGAAGACGCGCTTCTAGAAAGTGTTTATGCGCTGATTTGTATCTGCCGTTTTCCCATCAACATCATCAACATGTTCCCTCGATCGTAGGCTTTTCAGCGATCATCTTTTTTTTTTTTTACTTTAAGACTGATCTTTTGTCGAGGTCACTGCTCATTTCACGCTGCCACGTTCCATTGTTGCCTTTAATGGTGGTACGTTTTCGTTTCATGCCATGATCGACGTTGTCGCCTGTAGCAACAGAAAGATTGTGCTGCATGAGCACGTGGGCGAAGGTCCCATTCCCGGTGTTACAATGTACTATATATAGTACACTGTACCGGTATGGAGGAAGGATTTATTTGGGAGCAAGCAGGGTGCAATGAGATAGGAAGAAAAGGAAAGAAAAATCGACAGCAGGAACTCACGTCCCTTTTGTACCCCCTTTTCTTGTCCGGAAAAGGGCTTTTAGTTTCTTCCATCTCCGATCGGCTACAAAGTTTAGCTTATAAAAGAACTTCTAAAGTCAGTAGCACATGGGCAAAGTAAAAGGCTACGTGTATAGTGATGTTTAGCGTCACTGTAAGTTCACTGCAGCGGCATCCACAATTTTTGTCACGTCCTAAATATTGTACGCTAAGCAGCTCCTCGTAGTACTGGTGCTTAAAGCGCGAGACAGACGTGCGATTTTCTCTGCGATTCGGCGTGCGGTGCGACGATGCGACTGCCGGAGTGGTGACGTTTCGTGAGGTTTCGTGACGTATTTTGGCGTCGCCCCGCTGCATAGCCGGTGCGGCGAGCATCAAACCAGCCAGATAGCTTTCGTCGCATTCTGCCGAGACATTGATGCCAGAACCTGCAGAAACATGTCCTCTGTTCAAAAAGCACCACTACTATGCACTTTTATTTAAGAATAGTGTATCCTATTTTCAGGCAATATGCATTATTAGCGGATAGCAATTGTTATGAGCAGTCACTAAGAAAGATATTAAAATATTTGTGAACTTTACTACCGATATACTTACGTAACATTCCTTGCCATCTGGGTACTTCTGTTTCTGTCCTTTTATATAACAAGTGCAATTATCGCGGGGTTTCTGCAAGAAAAACTAAATTTCAGAAATGGTATATTTTCATTAGCGGCACTTTCTCATCATAAATTTCCTAAAGTATGCTCTGGGCTGCCATTCACAAAAAAAATTATTTAGAGAGCATACACACAGCACATCCACACACACGCGTACGCGCACACCAAAGCACACGCGCGCGCACCACGCTCACCATCACCTAATGACACAAAACCTAACGGGTAACAAGACAAGCCCACTGTACTATAAATGTACTGTGAAATAACTTGCTCTAGCGTTAGTTGACTACTCGTTTCTAAAAACAACCTAATGAAAGCACAGCAACACCACGTATGTACACACGCACATGTCTGTGTGTCAATATACGTGCGTTCGCGCTCTAATTATTCCTTAGAAAATGAGCAACCAAGCATCCCAACAACATGTTATTGTATGGGGGGCGAGACTGCTTATATTTGAAGTGTTTTAAACTTTAAAAGCACCTTTTTAGGCCCTTAAATGTCTACGGGACGTAGTAAAATTTCGCATCCTGAATGCTGAATGTCCCGCCCTCAACTGATTGGGAACGGGATCGTACCCAACGGGGCTTTGGAACAATAACCATGGTAAGGTCTTCGCGACGCGAGTGAAAAAAAAAAAATGCCGAGGTGAGAGGAGTAGAAACGACAGTTTCCACTGTGCATACAAGCAACTCGGCTCCCGAAGTGTCGACTCCGTTTAAAATCTGTCAATATAGAGCCCTTTTAGCATCCAGAATTGTTTTACACAGGAAGCTCTCACTTTATCCCTTAAAGCTGTAGTTTATTCTGCATGTTCTTTGAATATTCCACCTATTTTATAATTAACTCACCGGTCCGTGGCAAAACTTTTGATGCCGCTGTATTGAACTATGCTTAGCCGAAAGTGTAAGTCCTGCAAATAAAAGAGCGAATTTGAGATCACAATAACATTTCATACCTTTTGTCTAACTTCACATTTTTATTTCATTAGAAGATTTTCTGTAACATATATGTGCTAGTTAACTTTTATGGATCCATATGTATGTGCATACTAATGAGTTTATTAATCTAGGTTTACATGAGCAAATGTATCCCGCTTCTCTGTGTGCTCGGCATTGTGCACGGCATTCTGATTTGGGTGGATATGCGTGCTCGATTTCAGAAAAATAGCCGCTTGACCATTTCATGACTCTTGTACTTTTGGGTGCATATTGCGGGCACATATTTGCGTATACAAACTAAGACAACGTTGCTAATGCTTTATTTCGTCTGTAAATGCTGTTGGACTACTGAACTGATGTACGATGAGTGCACAAATCCAAATAATATAACTTAGAAATCAAGATGTCATTAACGTTGCTTGAATGATGCATGTACCAGTACAGTCAGCGATGAAACACCCTCATCGCACATGGGGTTATAGCGAAGGCAATATTTCTTTACTGTAGTTTGTTGTAACTTTTTAGTGAAGCCAGCCAATGTTATTAATTATTCGTCATTAGCAAAGTTATGTGCGCGTAATATGTTTCCCAAATTAATATTTATCCGACCTTTATAGGTTGGCCATTTAAAACTGCATTGTTGAAAACACGTTTTGCTGGCTGAGGAAACATGGCATGCATAAAATGAATGACGCTATGTCTTCACTACAGCACTATGCCGTTTGAGCCACGATTTTCTTCCTATGCTGTAAAGCCAAAGCTTAAAACTTCCTAATTTCTTGTCTTATGTCACAGAATGTGCATCTACCTTGATTCGATGAGATATTGAAAATAATAAACACCTGCCAGTTAAGGCGGTGGGATAATGCGCTCAAAAAAGTATTGCGTAGCTCTGGTATTGGGGATCAACTTACCACATGCCAGAAATAATATTAGAGAAGCTACGCCGCTTGAGGTCCTCATCTTGGCAATACCTGGGAAGAGTTTCTAGTTTCAACAGGAACTCTGAAGCACAAACTTGGACGCTGCCCCAACCTTGCGCGCCTTACGGAATATAGATATGTCCGCTAAGCAACATTTATTTTGAAATTTGTACCAGATTATGTCGGAAGCGTTAATTTCGCTTTAAAAAGGTTCATTTTAGCCGAAGTAATATTTACTTTATTTCACTTCATAATGCAAGATTTTTGTATTTATATTCTTAATCAATAAAAATGAGAAATATACAACAAAAGAAAGACGAGCATTAAAATTTGCACTTATTTTCTTTATTCTTAACCCAGTTGTTTTGAAGTAAAACGGGTGCAATTGCGTCTCCATGCATCAGCTTTTTATTCATGTAGTAGCGGGGCGAGTTCTTACTTTATTATGGCAGGTGGCATGCAGCATAGAATGTACATTGCGATCGCTCTTCAGATCTCTGCTGACTGCCATGTCCACCCACATGACTTGTTATTAACGTGCAAGCGTTATTAATCCTACAGAGGCAGAAAATATATCGCTCAACAATACGACCCGCATGAAACCGAAATTGCCTCGTAATGAACCATTACGGTAGAGACTGCTGTTGCATATAATCTATAGTGTAGCCAACATTTGACAAAAGCCTGGATTATGAACTGGAACACCCTTGAAGAAGGAACGCAGGCATTGACTCAGATCTGCTTATCGAAATTGGGGTGCAACAAGATATATTCTGATGTTTCTACCTATTTTGTACGCACATACAATTCATGGATAACTTGTAGCTGGGCGCATTGGTTCATAATTCAGGGTAAACTGGTGCGCGCAAATGCAGACAACGAGACAGAAAAGATAGGACAGGGACAAGCGCGAACTTTCAACTGAATCTTACTATTCGTTACCCTTCAGATATATAGTCACGAAAGAACACAGTCAAGTGGTCACATGGTCAAATCGAAACAGCTTACAGCAAGCCGTGCAGTCCTTTCATGACTATAAAATTGAAGGATGACGAATAACAAAATTCAGTGGAAAGTTTGTGCTTGTCCCTGTCCCTTGTTTTCCATGTCGTTGTGTGTATGTGCGCAAACCAGTTTACACTGAATGCAATTCATGTTGGTACACAACCCTCCCTTCTCCAACCCTGCCGAGGACGGATAGACAGTTTTCGCGATCGAGGGAATCTGCTAAAGACATTGGCAATCAGCTTATAGGAGGACTTGATAGATCCACTTCTTGGCGGTATATATCAGAAAGTCCAGGGCGTGGCGGAGCACATTCGGAGTACGCTATGGATACAGCAGGGCCGCCGACATTCTGATAAACAGATGCACGCAAAAGTGTTGAATTTATCGAAGTGCTCGGGAAGGTTTACAAAGTTCTCTAGAAGGACCGCAAAGAGAGTTTACAAAGGGCTCTAGAAGGACAGCTCTAACGGCTTTCGCTGTAACCACGCTGAACGTTCGGCGCAGACCTGGCCTCTTTAAGGGGTGAAGCACCTAAGGGTGTCGGCGTGCCGGCGTGCTCGTCATCTGCTGCTTGCTGCTGTTGTCGTGACGGCACTGCCGTCGGAGAGCAAGAGAGAGTGCTCGCCGCGCGGCGAGAGAGAGAAAGAGAGTGCGAACGGCGCGCGCTCACTAGAAAAACGACTTTGACGAAAATGCGACACAGGTTGCGTTTGCTAGCGAGTCTTTCATTGCATAAACCGACTGCTCGCGCTGCGCAACTGTTCGCTGGCCATCTCATATAGCATACAAGCACTGCAATGTAGGGCCGGTGGGAGATTGCTCTCGCCCGTAGTTGAACAATAAAGATTTCATAGCGTGCGCGTGAATTAAAATGGACTGCGGGTCTCTGTGTCTAATCATAGCAAACTGGGGGCTCTCATTAGACCCGTGAACACTACATGTTTCACCCTTCCCGAGATTTCACGTTAGTGAAGCGGAACCTTGGTTCTCTCTTCTCTACATGCCCCTTCGCCACATTTTCCTTTTTAGTGAACGTTGTATGGCGTGACTAGAATGGAAAGTTGTGATGATCACGGAGCATGTCGCTTTCTGGAATTGGTATCTGGGTGCCACGAACACACTTTAAAAAGTGAGCTCTCGGTACGAGACAGGACTATCACCTGTGTCCGTAGGTGGGCACTCCAAACACCGCACTGGTAACAGTAGAAGGCGACGAACTCTCCTGATCTTGCGCTGGTTGTCTACTGCGAATACAGCACGTGTACGAAGAGGACTTCTGAATAGTCGCTCCACGCTCCAGCTGCCGAGACTTCGCACACCGGGTCGACGTCTGCACCAACTGCAGAACTTTGCCTACTCTCTTCATTGCAGAAAAAAAAAAAAAACTTCCTACCCAGTAGGTAGCTTGTGAGCAACCTCAAAAATGCAAACATCATTGTTATTGTGGCCAGTACAGGCACTTTCCGACCTCCGCAATTTATTTCAGGGAAACTCTCAGTCCCTGACTCCACAACACAGCCAATGATTCAGCCCTTGTGTCGCAATATTCTCTGTCCAACGAAAACCCAGAAGTCTGGCCGTCTCTACCAAGCTCGGCTTTGCCCAGGTCCAGTTCGTTCTACCCCTGCAGGACACTAGTGATTCATGCACCCCGAATAGTAACCGCAGCAGAGGTCTCAGCAGACGTCGATGCGAATATGGGAGTGGTGCACCATTACTACAGAGGAATCCAAGCTTCCACAAGCCGGAGTATTCCGCTATACTGCCAGCCACCAAGGAAAACCACTGAATGCCACAAACTCTGCACAGGGGCCCTCATGAAGCCATAGTCATCAATTATCCACACTACCACGCATTGGTGCACGTTACTCAAGACTATACAAAATATGGTGGGAATAACGCAACGAAGAATCTTGAACTCACCAGGCAAGCAAAGCAGCCCAGGCCTTCCTACAACACGCCATCAAGACATCACAAACGCGCATTCACACAATATTTGATAGTTAGTGCAAAAAATATATTTTTAAAAATATTTCATCTATTATAAAGCCATAAAACAGGTACTTCAGCAAGTGTTAGCACCCCACAATGTCCGCTTCACAGAATGAGAGAACGCAGTCGGCCTTATCAAAACGCTTGCGCATGTAATCTTTGTGGTTATTATCATGCTTTGGCGCACAACAGATAACGCTGGCGAATAAGGATGCGCACTAAAGTGTGGAAGAAACACCAATACGATGCAGCTGTTTATAGATGCGAATAGATGCAACTGTTTATACCAAAACCTGAGTGTAATACACGTTATGCAAGAACAGATCAAACCTACCACTTGGCAACTTCGAACTGTGAAGTGTCATTTTGCCACCACGGTGAAGTGTCATTTTGCTGGAGACACTACCATCTTCGAATATCGTTCCACGTGCTGTTTTCCAGGAAGGCATCAGGAGTTCGAAATGAATACAACGTAAAAACAAAATTTGCATAAATTTTCTGGCTTGTATTCTATTCTGTTTCTGAAATTATTGAAGCTGAGGGATTGCAGAATAATTGGTTATTTATATACACGCTAATAAACAATATTACTTAAACTCACGCGGAACTACACATTCCTTGGTTTCTTTTTTTGGAGTGTGATAATAAGTGTCTTGAAATCAGTTCATGTGAATTTTCGCATTTGTAGACAGTGCATTATAATTCGCGTCTGGAGGGAATATCGACGTTACACAACACCAAAACACACGCGAACTAAAAGGCATGTTGAAAGACGCCATTCACGCATGCCGCCGACAGCTTCTAAGTGATCCGACCTCACACCACGTCGGTGTCATCTACCATATGAAGGTGTCAAAGCAGTCCTAACAATCACAGGCCCGCGTAATCAAACAATCGTGAAGCATCATCAAGAAGTTTCTTACGTTGAAATTGCCAAAGTACTGGTCCTAAAGCAAGTCATCATACAACATGAGCACGCCTCAAGAAATTGTGATCAGGACAGATTCCCAGGAAGCCCTATAGCCATCCTCCAGAGCCTCCGGAACTCCAAACTTACTAAATGAGCTCGCTGCCTATTAAAATCTTAATCTCACAATAATAATCGAGCTGGAGTGGATGCCTAGCCACACTTGTTGCTTGGGCAACGCACAAATCCACGCTGAGGAATCAATAGCCTGCTGTTCGAAGACTTTCCAGGGCTCGCCTGAGATTTATAAGCCGAGAACGGAGGGCGCACATGGTCATCAGGAGGGAATGGGTCACCTGAAAACCCTCCGGAAACCCGAGGAGAACTTTCTAGACCCACCGATAGCTTGTCGAGAAATAAAAGCGCACTCTTAAACACGTACAAATGAGCTCTCTTCCTAATTCCTTTGCACTGCGCAATATACAATCAAGGACCATATACATCCCTTATTTCCGAGAATGCGGTTCCATACAACACTTTATCATACTGGCTTTGGCACTTTGTCAAAGCGAATATGTCTGAACGTTATTGACCTCGGTCTAATGAATTCACATGGGAGACCTGGGTTGCGAACTTGGGCAAAAAAACCTCTTCCTGAGAAACGCTTTCCCATCCTACACTCACCCCCTTGAGGGGTGTCAGTGAAGCTTCACCCTAGTGCTCCTAACAGCTCGCGCACATTCAGCATAAATGTTTTCTTTCTCTCAATATAACAGAGCCGGCGCGGAGAGACAGATTCTGCTTGAAAACAACCTTTACAAAAATGATTCAAGAAATAAAGAGAGAACAAAGGCATGTTCAGTACGTACGTGCGTCAGTACTCACTTGAGAAAAAAAGGAACGCACAAAGGAGGGGAGTAGCGAACGCAAGATAGAACGAATAAGGAATGAAGAAAGAAGAAAGAGGGCATACCTATAACGACCAAGCATACAGGTCAACCGTGCGTCATTCGTGTGTGCGAATACTCTGGAGGTCATTTCGGGCCGTTGATTCTATAACGGAGGGACAGCACTACGTTCTGTTGCGGTCAGTGCCCGTTAACTGTTCTTCAGCAGCTTTGGTGCAGTGATGAAACAGCAGAGATTCACTGACACGAGGCAAAGGTACACGTTGATCTATTACGGGAAAGTGTACAAATTAAAGGAAAGTGTACAAATTAAACAATTACATTTGTGGCGGTGAGTTTGGTGAGGGCTTGTCTTGGAAAAGCTTCTGGGAAGGTCGTCCTGTTGTTTACTTGAACGGAAGCTCCACGGGATTCACCGGTGTGTTTACGATGGTTCTCCAACAGATCCTTAATGTCTGCGGTCATTTAAACGTTTTCAACGCGCTGTATCCTAGTTTCATTTTTAACTTATTGCGTCATGTTTTCTAAAGGTAACCTCCCCATTGTTATTCTGTGTCTATCACACCGGTTTCTTTTACAGTGAAAGCTCTTATGAGATCACAACATCGGTCACACGTAGTGCCATAGTTGTACGCCGCCGGTGTCCGTAACCACTATTACACGAAATTAGAAAAAAAAACTCGAATGAAAACATTAAAGACACCATGAGATTTGAACACGGGTCCACTGCGTGCTATCATAGTACTCTGCTGTCGCCCGGCACGGTGGTCTAGTGGCTAAGGTACTCGGCTGCTGACCCGTAGGTCGCGATTCGAATTCCGGCTGTGGCTGCTGCATTTCTGATGGAGGCGGAAAGGTTTTAGGCCCGTATGCCCAGATTTGGGTGCACGTTAAAGAACCCCAGGTGATCGAAATTTCCGGAGCCCTCCACTACGGCGTCTCTCATAAACATATGGTGGTTTCGGGACGTTAAACCCCACATATAAATCAATATCAGTACTCTACCATAGAGCCACGCTGGGGCTCGGGACTCGTTCGAAAACTTGCCTTAGGCAGGCTTTATGTCGGGAAAGGGATCGCCTTAATATGAGTAATAAAGCGTTTTAGAACAGCAAAGAAACAACCAGGTGTTTGACAATGCAAATTGCGTAATGAGTGGGTTGCGCAATGTTCCAACCATTTACAAAAAGCTTGATTTCGTTTACCTATTATTTGTGGCGTATACCAACTGTGGTAAATTGTGGGGATTACAAAAGCTTCTGGCATAATTTTTCATTGCCAGCAGCCACGACACACAAAAATGCACAAAGTTTCTTTCAAGTGTGCAGAAGGTACCCCGCTTCTTTGAAAAAAATGACGAAGGATGGCATAGTGAATGCCTGTCTACTACACAATGATTAGTGGCGTAGTGGCTACCCTGCAAGTGTCCTTGCAGCAGCTACCCAAACAGTGTATAAAAAAGGCTCTTAAAGGCCGCTCTTCTCGCTTTTGCTATGACAGTGCTACACGTTCAGCGTAGGCTTGGCGGTGTGTTCCAGACCGCTTCGCAGCCGCTGTCCTCTTCAGACTCACCCCCCCCTCCCCTTCCCATCCATCGGTTCGTCGTTCGAGGCTCTGCCGTCGGCTTCAACATAATCGATCATGTGAGGTTTGCTGTTAGTATAGTTACATTGGACGAAATTCGCTATTACATAACTATGTCTAGTGTAAAATGCTTCAAGTTGGTGTCGCGGCAGCATTCTGGCTATTTGTAACTTTTATTTTCGCGTAATCACCTGCCTTTTTATTATTTATAATAAAAATTAGGTAAGTCTGAATAATCATTTTTGTTTAATGAAAACAGGATCCAGCTGGTGCTGGTTCATGTTATAGGGGGGGGGGGGGGTGAGTAATAAGCGCACTGGACAAAATAATGGACACACTAGCAACTGAATTCTTGGTTAGGTAAAAACGTTATTAAGAAAAAAAAACTTATTGGGAACAAACGCAATTAGACCTGATAAACCACATGAGTCGATATAAAAAAAATTCCCCGAACAAGCACTCCGTAGAGATGAATAACCAGTGTAACTGAAACGTGCAGCCACAGGCAGTTGCAGAGACAAAGTGCTGCTCAAGAAGATACCGCTGAAAGCGGGTGTCAGCCCCGGCAAACGTCTTCTCGCCTTTGCCACAGACTTCGTCTCAACACAATCACTGACCCGTTCCACCATTCCCAGTACTGGAACTATGGCGCCAGAAGTTATGGGTGGACCCACTACCCCGTAACATGGACTCCGAACAACACCCCGGTCGTAGGCAAGTGCGTCTGCTGCCTTTCAGGCGCGTCACTCCGATCGCCCCGGCATATTCTATGTAGACGTCTCGGGCCCTTCCACTTTGGGTAATTACATGGCCGCTGTGATCACAGAGGGCCGCCATGTCGATGGCATCTCATTTAGAGCCGACGGTGCATCTCATGCAGAGGAGGTTGCCATAGCTTTGGCTGCCTCCCATCACACTGCTCCCATTATTACTTAACAGACTCACGCGCAGCCTGTTCTCGATACATCCAGGGTTGCTTACCCTATTGGCTGCTCATCTTCATCAAGGTGCTTTCTGGCGCTTTATACCTCATACTGTATGAGTATTATGAAATCCAAGCCACACAGGTCTTCCAGGCAACGAAGCGGCAAATGCAGCTGCCCGCGCTTGTCTCCTCTGTGCTGCTGCCCTTCCACGTCCTGAGTCGGTTCCTGAGAACTGCAGTCTCACAGGCTACCGTGATATTCTAGGATATTATCGCAGTTCGCGCCAACTTTACCCTGGCCCCGCACTCGGTCCGGCGAAAGCGGACGAACGAGTGCTACGCCGCCTTCAGACTCACACTTTCCTTAGTCCAGCAGACGCCCTGCACTTCATGCCGGAAATATCTGGCACGTGTCCGACTTGTCAAGTGTTAGCCGAAACTTTTCACGTTGTTGCTTCGTGCCCTGCTTCTCCACTTCCTTTCTAACCCTCCTTTCCCATCCCATTTAGAGAGGCTTTGGAGGAGTACCCTGCTCGACTCCCCTACCTTGGATGCGCAAAGCTCCTCGGTGGCACGCGTCCTGGCAGCGGCGATCTCCAACGGCACCCCGGACTAGGGACTGCCACTCAGGCGCGCAAGAACTCACTAGTTCATTTAAAAATAAAAAGTTTATCACCATCACCACCATCGCCTTTGCCACGTTGACGCTCCTCTGCCTGCAATATCGTTTCTTCGGCTGGACCACGGGCTGGACGTTCTCGTTTGCATTCGGCTGGGAAGGCTGCCGAAATATTGGCATGCAGCTACTGCTTGCGCTTCACCACCAGGGCCTGTTCGCGTTTCGGGACTTCCGCATCGGCCAGATGCACAGGCATTCTCCTAAAGGGTATAAAGTTAGGCCAGCTCAAAGTCCTGTCGTATTTCTTGTCTCGTGTGCCGGCACTGTTCTTAAAGCTGACTTCTCCTACCGATCAGCTGTCAGCGCTGCTCAAAGAAAGTTGTCTGCTGTTCGGGCGAGCGTACGATCCGTGCCCTCCCCATATGGAGGTTGTAGTTGTATGTTGAGAGTGCTGCGTGTTTGAACGGCGGCATGGCTGTGAAGGGATGAACGACTTCACTAATGGCGCTCCCAATGGCGTGCGCACTTGGGTGAAAACGACGGCGCAGCCAATAAAGACCATTATCGTTTCTTGTGGCGGATGGTTTTCCGTTTCGCCTAACCATTTACAGCTCTTACCAGCGCTCAGCCCGATTACTTCCCGTGGCGCTCGAGAAATGCTATCTCACCGTCCTGCTAGTAGCGCATCGGTTGCTAGTAGTGCGTCGGCGTGTGTCCATGTTCATTGTTTTTTTAAATAACTGCATATAAGGAGAGGTTAGTGCCAATGCGTGGCACCAGCTACTCTGCTTGTATTGCACAATAGTCGACATGGCATATTGTGTAACAAACACAAGGCTATATATAGGTACATAGCACAACGCTTACACAATGGGTCCATGTTTTTCAATACTGAGAGTCCACACCACACAGAAATGTGTCCACACCACACCGAGTTTGTAAAAACACAGGTAATCACACTAACTTTAGTGTTCACACAAAATATGAAAGTTTAACAAAATGTCTAAGGTGATCTTGTCTCTTCAGTACTCAAATGCTTTTAGAAAGGGTTTCCCAAAGACATTGTAGTGAAACACCAAAATAATACTAAGAAACAAACCAGTTAACAATGACGATAATACATTTTTTTCGTTCAGTACTTTTGAGATAATACTGATTCCTTCAGAAAGTGAATGACTGCTCGCGCTGCAGTGGCTTGTAACTTTTCTTTTGGCCAGGAATCCCAAATTTTTGCATTAAATGGAGGCCGCTTATCCAAACAATTCAGTTTTCGTAAAAGTTTCTTTCGAGGTATGTCATAATTTTTACAATGTAGAAGGATGTGATATATAGGACTGCCAGCCTTCCCTATTATATGCACGAAAGCCTTCGTGTAGGCTGTACCAAGTCGAAGCCTATGAATGACTGTTTTTACCGATTGGCCAACCTTTAACGGAGTATTAAATTCTATACCGGGATTAATGTTATATAGCTGAGAGTTTTGCGACCCATATTCGAACTAGGTTTCCATAGACCGTCGACAGCTCAGCCTATTTATTAGACATTGTGCCCCGTTCATCGATGCACGATGCGCAACTATTGTCTTTTGCCGTAATGAACGGCGTGCGTGCACCTCCTCCCTCCTTCACACAAGCCCATTGCCATTGTCATAAAGAGTAGCCAGCCAGTCTAAGAACTGGCTAACCTCCCTGTCCTTCCGCTTAAACTTTCCTCCCATTGCCATGGGGCTGGCTTGCACCAGGCCGACCAACAAGTAGTGTGACAAAAAAGGATAGAAAAACAAACAGAAAGCAAGACAGAAGTAGAAAAAAAAAAACAGAGAGCGAGAAATGTAGAGAGAGATAGAAAAGAACATAGGAAGGCATACAAAGAAACGGGGACAACAAAGCGATACAAAAGCCGAGAGAAAGAACTTTAAATATGCACAGAGAAAAGCAGAAAAATAAAGAGAAGCAACTAGAACCACCCGGACGCACTGTTGTTTCAGGCGTGCCACCGCTAGTGTGAAGCTACCGCAATTTTTATCCGCATGCAGACTCTCATGATGCTACCACATCCGCTAAGACCATCAGAGGACGGTTATGAGCAATACCTATACCTTACATAAAGATTGACTAGATCCTCACATAAAGATTGCTTAGCTCCCCTTCTATATGTATGTGTGACGTTCAATTTTACACTCACCTGTTGTGTCCAGGGATGAAACCTTGCAGTCCAAAGTACAGCCTGTTTGTTATCTGTATCGAGCAACCAAATTCGGCGTTATCGCACCCACTTGCGAATCACACGACCGATCTTTGCACACTTTCAGTATACCCTACAGCTTCATCTGACAATGCGTTTGATACAAGTAATTATTCCGCACAAGCCATTTTCGCAATCAGCAAAAATGCCACTTACGTTAGAAAGAGCTGCATGCGCTTCTCCTGCTGGGGCATAGGGTACACGGGAGCCTTGAAAATGTTATCAGGAGACATTTTGAGAAATACTACTGAAATAGACAGCACCTACGTATTCTGAACCTTTCCTGAATTGAGAGAAGGAGTCGTCAGACGTTCATTGACCATTTAAGCGTAGGACACCAGGTGTGGGAGAAAGAAGTGTTGGTCGCTAGAGGCACTGCAATCAATAGCGCTACCGCTGTAATCCACAAACATTTAAACGTGCACAGGAACTTGCAATAGTGGTGTGCTGCATATTCGCACAACCATTATTATTTATATGACATGTGAAAGTCTCCAAGGTGGTTTTTGTTTAACGTAATTTTGAAATAGATTATTACTGGGCATCTGTTTGGTAAAAAAGTAATGCAAAATATTCCGCCTGATGCCATACAAATTCATTAAGCGCTACTATGATGACATCCTGAACTTGTGTTGCTTACTCAAGCAGTTCTCCGGGCAACTGCTGGCAGCGTATGAAAATGTGTGCTTTTGTACGTCATTCGTGTTTCCGTGAGTATTTCAGCTGGCAAAATTCTCGTAATTTCGTCGAACTGATGTGGAGATTAAAACGTATCAGAATTTATGGTATATTGTGTTAACAAGAACAGGTGTTTTAAAACGAGCTTCAATTCTAAGCAGCTTTGAGAGGACCGCAGGACCTATATTGATGGAATTGGTGGTATTCTTGAAGGATTGCTAGCTCACCTGTTTATTTGGCTGGAAATGAGGGAGCAGTAATAAAATGCATGGAGGGTGCCTGCTATCTCCTGAAACGTTAGGAAGGTTTAGAATAACGTTCGCAGGCGTTGTGGGCGTTGCTTTAGTTGCGGGCACCGTATGAGTTTTAGAATAGCTTTTGCTCCCTCAAGAAAAAAATTCTATGGACTTTCGCCCCGACCACAAACCCAAATGCACGGATGCTACACACCGCGCATTGCGGGTCTCGCGAGCCGCGATCGCCGCACGCTATTTTGGAATTTCTGCGTACGGGCCGCAAACGCGAACGGCGGCTCACGTTACGACGCATGCGCAGTGGCAGTGACCGCACTGCAAGGGCATGTTGTGCGCTATTCTAAACCTCCCCAGTAATTTGAGTCAGCATTTTCTGCCGTTTGCGATGCTAGAGGTGGCAAGCGCTGATCTCTTATCCGTATATAACGGCGACCTCTTGTTCTCTGATGTTCTGCGTTGTTCATAAAGCAACTTCAACCAAGTAAAGGTTAGAACGGTGTGGTAGAGCGCGCGGTCCGAGTTTCTGCGATACCACCACTATGTCAAGTGGTGTTAACTAGGAGGCCAGGCAAATTGAAAAGATACCTCTCGTTATTGCAGAAAAAAAAAAGCTAATTTATCAGCTTGCTTTTGTCACCATGTCGGCGAACTGACTCATGAGTCGACTCCCTAAGACTCACCGAGACTCAGATCAAGCCGTGAGGATGAGTCCGAGGGAGTCCTACTGAGAAAAGTTTTATTGAGATGAAGTACGATTGAGTGCGGTTGAGGAAAACTTTGATGAGTGTTAGTCCGAGCGAGCCCCAAGAGTGATGAATACTTCATGAGCGAGTATGAGTGAGCTACACGTTGTTTTGCGCACCTCTCGTCCTATCTACCCAATTTGAGCATTACCATCACCATTATGTTGGCGCACGTTTATATCAATTATGTTTATGGACACATCAACGCAGCAGTGTTCATACACCAGCTCAATAGTATTTGAACAGATTAGTTAATTACGAAGAAAAAGAGAGCTTTCTTGAACTTCAATCTCGGTGTTGTTTTAAAAAAAACTCACGTACGTCATCTTTTTTTTATGAAAGCGTTCTTTGTTGAATTAAACGACCAATAACTCGTATTTAAACATATGGATTCTAAGCGCCAAGTAGGTGGCATCGATATCGGTGTTAAAAAGCATTGACTTCTTCGGCGTAACAGCTTACAGTCTGTTAAAGGACTCGTGAGTCGACTCACTCAGACTCAGATAAAGCTATCGAGCCTGAGCCTCACTGAGTTTAAGATATTTATGTTTTGATGAGTTTGAGTGAGTTCAACTGTAGAAATTTTTACTGAACCTGCGTTCGAGTGAGCCTAAGAGCAAGCTCAGTTTCATTAGAGTGAATGAGCACTAAATTGTTTGCCGACCTATGCCAGTGCCTCACAGAAGAATCCCCTTTCTGCAGAAGTATACACTATAAGGTGTACTGTGCCCAAGTTCGCTTTCACGAAGAAACGTTCGGGGAAAACTGAGGCTTTACTCGATGACAAAATCTTTGAAGAATCGTTGTTTTTGAGGCCACCATCTGAATGTTTGACCTTGAGTTCGTCAAAGCCAGAACTACGTCAGTTGTTGCCTGAACGCGACGCGCATATTCTTGTCTTGACGTCGACTCTAGCAACACCAGTGCTTCAAGCATGCTTTAATTGTTTACAGAAGCATCATCTGCTGCTTATCTAGGTTTTCATGCATGACCTTTGCATTTGTCAGCTTACTAACTTTTACATGTCAGAAGATATGAATGAATCAGTTGACAGTTCATGCACTCTCCGTTGTCGTGATCAACTTGTATGTGTTTCCATTCTGCTGTTTAAGTATACCGCGCAAGAACAAATATACACTAATATACTGATCTACATCACAATTGATCATATTATACCAATATTTTTTCTTATATGAAGGCTAGAACGACTGCACTTGAAATTAGAACGTGTATTGTCTTTTTTCACCGTCGAATCATTGTATTATTTTTTACCATTTCAAGAACCTGCTTTTCTAAATTCTCGACGTTTGTCCCGTGCAGCCTTTTCGTAGTTCGCAAAGACCGCTAACTTCACGTGGTCAGCAACAAGTTAAAAGTCGAGTGTGCATAGCGAAGAGCTGTTCAAGGCTTCGGCCTTCACGAGAAACCAGCCGTCAGTCATTATGAAGGTGCTTATTTTTTTGTTAAACGTTGACAAGTTAGTGCTCAGCCCACCTGGTTAGTTTCCATCTCGCGAACACTAAAGAATAATATCAGAGCTAACTCATTTATTGAACTTTCAAAGGACAGCGAACTCAACCACTTCTTACTGCCATCGTAGAGGGTGTTTCTGTTAGCTAGCACAAAATCTTTTTAAAGAAGTATCACAGGCGTTAAGTGTTTTGAACTGGAGGAGTGTTTTTTTTGAGCACCACCGAGTATGCCAGGATATATTGTGTAGTCCGCCAACCTTCAATACAGTGATAATTATTTGACGTTAACGTCTGAAAACCACAATGTGACTATTAGAGACACCTTAGTGGAGGGCTCTGGAACTTTAGATGACTTGGGTTTCTTTAACGTGCGTTGACACCGCACCATACATCGGCCACTTCCATATTGCCTCCACAAGAATACGACCACCGCGGCTGAGAAAAAAAGGAGGTCGAAAAATAAACATAAAAGACAGGTAATAAATGCGTAAAATCTAAAAAAGACAGAAAACTAGCGTGAAGAGAGAAAGTGATGCATAAAGAAATGAGTAGCAAATATATATATATATATATATATATATATATATATATATATATATATATATATATATATATATATATATATATATATATATATATATATATATATATATATATATATATATATATATATATATATATATAGGCAGGCATGGTGGTTGAGTGGCCGTAGCGTTGCATATAGTCCAGTAGATCCTCCGTGAGCGGTCACAACGTGGTTTCTTTCGACGTTTCAGCCTAGAGTCTGGCCTTCATCAGGATTCAATCCTGATGAAGGCCAGACTCTAGGCCGAAACGTCGAAATAAACCACGTTGTGACCGCTCACGGAGGATCTACTGGACTATGTATATATATATATATATATATATATATATATATATATATATATATATATATATATATATATATATATATATATATATATATATATATTGTAGGCATCTATTATGCGCTTCATCCTCATCTGAACAGCAGTCAATCATCATCTGCTTGGCACGAGCGCTTCTTTGTCGGGTCCGTTGCGCTTGTTCGTTCCCGAGTTCACGGCCAATAAACCTCGCTACAACCGAGTCGTCATACGTGGTGGAGGTGGATTGACGTTCCCAGTACCTCTACACACAACGCCTACTCGCTGGAGCTCCGTTCAGGCCGCCGCTTGGACCCTCAGTCCGCCAACATGTCTCAGAGTGAGTGGGTGGATGCCCTTTCGGCTCCCGTCTCTGCGCCGCAAGCCGTCTCTGCGCCGCAAGCCCCTCCTCTTTACATCATAAACCACCAGCGTGACCCTCCGATCTTCGCTGGTCTCCGCGGCGAAGATGTGGAGGACTGGCTCGATAACTACGAGCGGGTAAGCTCAACTAATCACTGGGACGACTCTAACAAGCTCCGCCGAGTATCGCTTTATCTCACGGGCCTTGCCAAGACATGGTTCTTGAACCATGAGATCGACCTCACCGACTGGCCTGCCTTTAGGCAGCAGCTTCGCCAAGTATTCGGCACACCAGCCGTTCGATCCGCTCTAGCGAGGAGGGCCCTAGATACTCGCCAACAACATCCCGGCGAGTCATACACATCTTATATCGAGGATGTCCTTGCGCTTTGCCGGCGCGTCAATTCTTCGATGTCCGAGTCGGACAAACTGCGCCACATCCTGAAGGGCATCGGAAGCATTGCCTACAATGCCCTTGTTGCCCAGAATCCTTCTACTGTCACGGACGTCGTCTCTACGTGTCAGCGTCTCGACGAACTTGATTCAGTTCGCCTTCAGTCGGGCAATATTGAACATCGTACCGCAGACCGGGACCTGCGTGACATGATACGGGAGATCATACGAGAAGAACTTCAATCAATGGGTATCTCAAAACCTTCTCCATCTGTCACACAGCCTTCAAGCATGGCCCTCCGTGACATCGTAAGGGAGGAACTAACATCATTCACCGGTCCAGCCTAC